GTGACAGTTGTCTCCAGCACTGTGTGTTACATGAACTTGTACTGAATTCTCTCTGACAACTGCAGTCAGACGCTAATGCATCAATAACACATTATTACTTTCCTGTCTGGCACAATCAGCAATAACCTACATTTTGCAGGTGTATTTATTAAACAAATGTGAGAAAGAGAGAGGGGGTTGTTGGAGGAAGTCGTGTAGGTACTATGAATCCAAAATGCCATTAAAATCACAAGATTCATCTCTCTGGGCTCCAGGTCATAAATAAATACATACAGTAAATTCAGTGTCTCTACATGTTTGATGCCTGAAGATAATTTAGGAACATTGAGTGGAAGGTGGAGTCGCCTAGTTTCAGCACCATGGACAGAGCTGATGCTGTTGGTTGTCCTAAATCTGCTAAATTTTCTAACTACTGTTGTCCATTCCAAATCGGCTATGTTCTCTTAACTTCAGGTAATACTCTTGCTTGTCCTAAACAGACCAGCTCAATAAAACACTTTCATTCCTACATGCACTTATTACAGCTTATTGCAGCCTTATTTACCCTCATATTATGTACTGTAATACTGCATGGGCTGCAACATGTCCCACTGATGTCGATAAGATTTTTCTAATTCAAAAGAAATTTTTGAGAGGGACTAGCTTTGCCAAAAAATGCAAATCATCTGCTTTTCTCTTTAGAAAATATCAATTTTTATCAAGGGCAGCACGGTGGTGTGGTGGTTAGCACTCTCGCCTCACAGCAAGAGGGTTGCCAGTTCAATCCCGGGCGTGGGAGCCCTTCTGTGCGGAGTTTGCATGTTGTCAGCGTGGGTTCTCTCCGGGCACTCCGGCTTCCCCCCACAGTCCAAAGACATGCAGATTGAGGATTAGGTTAATTGATAACTCTAAATTGTCCATAGGTTTGAATGTGAGCGTGAATGGTTGTTTGTCTCTATGTGTCAGCCCTGCAATAGTCTGGCAACCTGTCCAGGGTGTACCCTGCCTCTCGCCCGATGTCAGCTGGGATAGGCTCCAGCCCCCCCGCGACCCTCAAGAGGATGAAGCGGTTAGAAGATGAATGAATGAATGAATGAATGAATGAATGAATGAATGAATGAATGAATGAATGAACTTTTATCAATTTTTAATGTTAACATACACCAGACTGTGTATTCATGTATAAATATGTACATTTCACTCATGACTTGCTGAGCGTTTTCCAGAACTTTTTTAGGTCTTCCTCAGACAGTTTACTCATATTCCAATTTTTGGCTACTTACCTCTTTTACACAATGTTTTAACTTTTAATTTTCTTTTTTTCCTAATCTAAACTAAACTAAACTAAACTAATCCAAACCAAACCAAACTAAACTAAACTAAACAGATCTAAATCAAACTAACTGAATCTAATCCAATCTAAACTAAACGAATCTAAACTAAACAAACTAAACTAAACAGATCTAAATCAAACTAATCTAATCTAATCTAAACTAAACTAAACTAATCTAAACTAAACTTAATTAAACAAACTAAACTAAACAAGTCTGAACTAAACTAATCTAATCTATCTTCTTTATCTTTGTATTGATTTCTTTAAAAAAGGTCAACGTTTCCGTCTCAAAGACCTTTCTCAAGACAAACGTTGACCTTTTTTAAGGATATAATTGCAAAAGTAAAGAAGTGTGTGCAGGAATCACAATTTTTTTCAATGAGTTAACTTTTCTGGGAGACCTGATTCCCTGCACCACTAAATGAGCAGGAGGTGTGCTTGTTGTCTTTTACTCATAGTCCTAAATATCTAACATCTGTAAATCAGTGGATGAATTTTTGAGCTTCACAGCCCCCACAAAATGATTCATTTCACTATTATATATCTATTCAGATCGATAACATCTGGAAAGTCTAGAAGAACTGAGCAATTAAATCATTTTATCCCCATTCAACTTTACAGAGCGCTTAACCAGAAGTGGGCCGTACAACGTGGAAGCAGTGCCGATCATTCATGGCACATCCAGGTAATTTTTTACGAGGCAGTTGAACCATTCTGTCTTCTGCCTTCATGTGCCACTGAGCAACTTTCATAGGAATGATCCTCCAATGCTGTATCCAGGTCTCTTTATATATCCATGGTCTTAAATGTGCAAAGCTCTCCCAATTTCAGCACCATGGGCAGCGCTGGGTGATTCTAAACCACTGTGATACTGGTGAGTGTTTGTCCTACATTCACTACACTCCCTCAGTTTCAGCGCTGTGTGGTTTCAAGAATATGACTGTATTGTTTGTTTGTTTGTTCTAAATCATGCAAGAACCCCTTTGTTGAACAGAGACAACATTTCAAAAACCGTTCACTATTTGCTCACTTTATAGTGTGTTTGCCAATTTGTGATGCTTACCTAACGTCTGGGGTGGACTCAGAATATTCCATGATGCATAAAAAACTGGCATTATGCAATGTGCAAACAGAGAAAAATTACATTTAATCAGCTGATTAATTAAACAAATTACCTGGATTGCATTCAAAAAATGATTTTTTTTTTTTTTTTTTTTTTTGCCATTTGAAACATTATAAAATCATCCTAAAAGTATATCTATGTTGAATATACTGTATATAAAGGAACAATTCCAGACACAGCGTGAGTGCATTAATGTGTTTCATCACCACAGACAGGTATGGGTGGTGTTAACAGTGTGTCTGTGTCTGAAATAATGCTCTATTAAATTCCACTTAAAAGGACGGTCACCATTTTGTAGAAGTGAGAATTATCATACCTGACAGGGCTTGGGGATGTTAGGAGGACGGCACTGTTGTTTTGCTTTTGATGTGCTACATTTCAGTTTCAGCACCATGGACAGGGCTGCAAACTATTTAGCTGTCTCTATTCCATACTACTAAATAAATGTATACTGCTTTACACTTCAGATCATCTTAGTATCATTGTTTTGCAGTTTGTATGAAAAGCAATCAAAATACCTTATCATTTGATACAAACAGGACGCTATACATGCGTGTTGACAGTGCAGTACATGTCAAACTGCAAAGTCAGGATGTCACTGGATATTTAGCTTATAGAGAGCAGTGTTTTCCCAAAGATTTAAAAGATATTTTGTTGTTGTCTTGGTTGTTTACAGAACAGTTCTACCACCATACACTTTTTCTTCCCAACCGTGAGCATTTTCTCAATTTTCTTGGTGCAGTGCATCAAGGGAAGATAACGTCCATCAACAGCCCAATTTAAAAAATCAATCATTTTGAGTGTGCATAATGACTTTTGAGTATACTTGATTAAAGTACCACAATCTGAAAACCTGCTCAGAATTAGTAAGTGCTATGTAGCATGTTACTGGTACTCAGCTTTTGATACTACTGTTTGTTCTAAATTTAACTATACTCCATGAGTTTCAGCACCATGGACAGCGCTGAATGATTGCCTTAGTATTGTACTTTTGTTTGCTTGTAGTAAATTAACTACATTCTGTTTCAATGCCATCAATAGAGATGGTGATATTAATTGTATAATCAGGGTACCGACAAGTCCTTTCAATCTTATGTTGCCTTAAACTCAAATTCCATGGGTCTTAAATATTTTCCGTCACATTACCGCAAAAATGTCTCCAGCCTGACAGATCCAATGTCTGTTTACAATCACTGGACAGACAGAAGAATTGCAATAATAAATAGCATTTATGACAGTGATGAGATTTTGTTTTCTCTTTAAATTAAACACATTAAACTTAAACTCACCCAATATTTCCTTACTGTTCATTTTTAACTGACATCAGTGTGTTTACTTGGAAAGAGTACCTACACATGCATACGTAATGTGCATTTCCATTGCAGGTTTGGTGCTAAATTTCATATAAGGTGTTATTAAGAAGGTCTTACATTTATCTTGGTTATATCTATAGACAACCTGTACTTGCATGTGTCAATATATTATTAATATTTGACCAAAATCATGTGCAAATTGAAATGATGATGTTTTTGACCATGTAATGTCGACATACATGTTTTGTCCATCACTGATTAGAACCACCACATCTAAGGCGGTAAGTGCACTGTATTATGTTATCATCAACGCACAGGTTACAGAGTTTATTCAGTTTTTCCTGCCATTTATTACATTTGTCAAAAATCTCTATCTTTGTTTATCAGACCACAAATGAGACAAGAATAAGCTAGCTACCACAAGCTGTGCTTGTTCTAAGAAAAATAATTTAGAAGCCAGACAAATTGCCTGGTGTGCAGCAATTACTTCAACGGAGGCGGGACAAAGCTATGACATTTTGCTGACAGTCTGAGAATCCAATTGAATCACGAGATTTAGTCACAAGCTCTTTTTAATACATTTCATTGGTTAAATATTTTTAAAACCCATATAAGGATGTAAAGGGTGACCAATAGCATCTATTTATGAATAAGCATCAAAATTACAAAATATAAAGGTACAAGGTTGCCAGCCGACAGCGAGGATATGAAAATTAATGCTGAAGCATTGTGACCAGTAGCTGCTAATATTTTACATTTATAGCTGCAATAACTGATTAATATACATATATATGCATAGTCCATTATTCCATTGCAGGTTTGGTTTTACATTTCATATAAGGTGGTATTAAAATGCCTTAAAAAGTCTAGACATCCTGTATAATACATTTGTTTCCTTCTACCCAGTGTACTACATTCTGTGTCAGCACTATGGGCAGTGCTGTGTGATAATATTTGCATTATACTTTTGTTCCATTGAAGTAAATGTGTCAGCACCATGGACAGGTCTGGTGGTATTGTCAGTATAATACTGTGTTTAACTGAATACAGCAGACTGTGTTTCAGCACCATGGACAGGGCAGGGCTGGGCTTGTCATATTCGCCAGATTCCAGTCCCATGGACACTGCTGGCATTATACTGTGGATATGATACTGTTGTTTATTCGTCCCCAATGTGCTACATACGTTGGCCAGCCTGTAATAAAAGCCAACACGTCTGTCCCTCCATCCCTCATAAGAGCGCAGAGCCATGCAGTGCATTGCAGCCGGCGCTTCCTCTGCTGAATGGAATGAAAGCATGTCCGGATCGCATCGTGGCTCTGACACCGAGTGAGCTCTGCATCTTTAAAACAGAAAAAAAACCCGGCAAAGAAAAACACACAAGCAGCTCAGTCATAACTGTGGGATGATAAGGACTACCTCTTTTTACTTTTGGAGAGAGCCAAGCCGTTAGGAGAGCATTCAGCATCAGCTGTTCAACACTGGTCTCTCATTGCTGGAAGTCGGGGCTGAATCAGTCACATGACAGAACTGGAGGCAGAGATCTAGAGAAAAGGCACAGCATTTCGGCTTGCACCGCCATACTGTATTTTGAGCCATATCACATTTTTATTGCAACATTTTACTCCCGCTCGGTGAGTACATTTCCAATGGCTTTTTTGTAAGCATTTTTTGTCTTTTTAATTGCCCCCTTTTTTATTTTTCCTCCTTTTGCTGGTGTTTGAATTGAGCATTGACATGGTGGTTTTGAGCGTTTTTCACATGCAGGCTTCAAGTTTTTAGCATGCAGTTATTCTGATCGAGAGTGCCAAGAGGGTAATCGGTGCCTTATCGGTCTTGAGAAAGCCTTGACTTGCTTGCAGTTTTGTTTCGAGGGTCGAAACCAAGCAGCTTTTGTCAGTATTGAGATTTTTCAAAACAATTTATTGGTGGGTTTTGAAACATTTTTATTTTTTTGTTTCTGTCGACTTTTGCTGTTGCTATGCTTTGGTTTGCATTTTGCAGTGTTGTTTGTTGCCTTCGAGTTTTGTGATTTTGATGTGTCGGTGAATCTCACCGATCCAAAAAAAAAGAAAGACACCCTTTGCTTTTACTTTGTTCCTCTTTTCTTTATAAAAAGGAGTCATTTTTAAAGCCCCATGACGTTTTAACGTGCTACTTTTCTTGCAGCTGAGCTCACAGGTTTGTTGTTTTTGTGTTTCTCTCTTTTTTCGATTTCATTATACTTTTGCTGGTGGCAGTGTCAAGTATTTTTGGATGTTTTTGACTAGATGATGCTGGGTGGACGAGGGGAGTTTTGATTCTTGGGGGAGTTCAATGCGTTTTTGTTTTCTGTATCAACGAGGATGAACAGACATTTTCCCTTTTGCAGGTATATATATATAATATGAGTGGATAAGTGACACGTTTCTGTATTTACAATAAAGACTGAGGTGACAGAAATATGCACCTGTGGCTGACGTGTTATTTTGTAAGGCTGGCCAAATTGCTCATTAGAGAAGGCTTTATTTATCAATGTTATCTGAAGGTTACCTGATCTGATCGATCTGCCCGTAATGCTTCATTTAAATAAAGAAACACGAGCGACGCGATCGACAATTCAACAACAAGGATTGGAGATCACACGCAGGTCGTTTGATCACAGTGTGTTCTTTGTGTTTGAGTTCAACAATCTTCAAGCCGTCGCAGCTGAGGAGTAAATGTAAGTAGCATGCAGGTCCCTGGGAAGGATGCACTGTAACCACTGTAATGATTTCCCACAGATAAAGTAAACTCCATCCATATGTCGACATGCAGGAGCAGGGAGCAGGAATTGCCTGTGCTGCAGCGGGCTTTAAACTGCAGTAGGCTATGCTACCAAGTTGGGGGGTGCCAAAAAAAATAAAAAGGATAACCACAGTTTGAACTACAGTATGTCAAGTATAGCTACACTTAAGTGCCCTCCTTATTGCTGGACAAACTCAAATCGGCTTTGGTAGGCCTGGATTCATAAATACTCCTGGATTTGTCAAATCTGATTTTGCAGGAAATGAATAGAGCCACTGACAGGACTAAAAGAGGACTTAGAGTGAATTAATCCTCCAAGAGGCAGGTTTAACTTCAGATTATTGGCGTGCTGCAGGAAATGCAAACACAAGCAAACAGTTGTCATGTAGTCTTAGCAAAGGGCATGGGTTGCATTATGTTTCCCTGTGTTTTGTGTGTATTCTCTGGGAGTAGATACTGAGCTAACATCGCTGTGTGCCTTCTTTAAGGAGTCAAAAAGTACTGCTCCACAAACCTTATCTGACTTCTTCCGGACTATTCCAGGACGACTCTAAATCTGTGATAAGTGCTGGATTCAGTTTTGGCTTTGAGGATTTCAGCGTGTGCACGACGTCTCGTGAACTGTGATCCATATGTATTCACTTTAACAGAACACAGGTTTCGTTAGTGCAATATCGTAAGCCTATAAAATATATGAGAGTGCACCATTAAGCGTGGGAACAGACCGTTAAGCCCCAGTGTCGTTAAACAAGCTGACATGGGAGATCAGAATCAGCTCAGTTTAATGTGGTGAAATGATTAATATCCAATGCAGAGCAAGGCAGGTAAACTTTTAAAAAAAGGGCGAAGTGATTATAGTAATTAAGATGGAACATTTTATCACGTATTGAGGAGCTGTTATCGTGTATTGATTTCCCTGTCTCCTGTTAAATCTACGCAGCTCATAAAGCAGATGTAGATAAAGAGCCACAGGGAGGCTGTTAATGGTTTTTAAGTTGTAGAAACAATAGTCCAATCTTTGCATTCAGTGTTTGCATCACAGAGCTGCCATTAAATAGGATCAAGGTGTGAATTTACCACTGTTAATTACAGAGAGGAGGGGTGTAACAATCCAATAGTTTCTGCAGCACTATCAAGTCCCTTATTTTGCCCATAATTGGATTTGAGTAAATCTGCAAAAGCAACAACAAACTGTTGTCAACAATTAAACACATTTAAGCCTCTTTTGCTAAGTTGAAAGAATGACTTTAATTGTCAAGGCCTTTATTTTTAGCCTCAATCCACAGCATCTCATTGTGCCTGGATGCTATTTTCAACAACTTCTTCAAGGCAACACACTTTTCCTCTTGTTTATCTCTGCAGAATGAAGCACAAACACCAGCCCGCTTCAATCACACCGAGGCTCTTGCGAGACATTTTTAGCTGTGTGAATAGCAGCGTTTCATTTTAATCGATTCATTTCAAATCTTGCCTTCAAAGCTCGCATCGTTGCATCACGACACATCGACATTTCTTCACGCCCCTAGTCGAGAGGTGTTTCTGCCGCTCCGCCACAGTATGAGCTCCTGGACATCTCTCCTGCTAAGCATTATGATAGCTTCTATTACGTCCTGCGGTGTTGTGTCTCCCCTCCAGGCAGGTTTCCTGTTATCTAGGCCAAGCCAGACCTGCACAGGAGACTTACAGAGAAATATGATAGCTTATGAATGGATATACCTCTGCTAGCATGAATAAAACATCATGCAGGAGCAAAGTGTATTAACTAAGCATGTGCTTAACGATCAGAGTGTCCGTGTGTCTGCATGTTTGCTGGTCTGAATGTGACTGGAACAACACTTTAGCTTTCAGCACGACAGAGTTTGACTAATGTAAACATAATTGATATGCTGTGTGTTGCATACACATGCTGTGTAATTATTATGGGATGCTGGATTCAGTAGCACATGATATGAACACTGCAGCCCACATAGACAAATGTTATGGCCAAGATGCATCTACTGTTGTATTTTTAACAAGCTTTGCCTCAGTCCAGCCTGTGCAGTCACAGTTTTAGTACACGTGTGTACTTTTAAAGCAATACTTCAGCCACAAAATGACCATTTGTATATTAATTAATCTCCCTGTGTTACATTGAATTTGTGAAGAAAGCTTTGTTTTTCTTGCATGCGTCAAAGGTGAACGAAGAATCCAAAAACTGAGAAAATTATTGTGAATTGGAATAAAGGGGGGCTGCATTTAACAACAGTGAAACTTAATCAAAACATTTGTTTACAAACTCTCACACAACTCATACAAGTGTTTATTTATACAATCGTATGCTCAGTATCTCCTAAGCATTTACACCAAAACCTTACTGTTTAAAACAATTGCTTTTTGGATTCTTCTTTCACCGTGGAGTCATGCAAGAAAAACAAAGTTTTCTTCACAAATTCGACATAACACAGGGTGAGTAACTGATCCCATGTGGTTATTTTGTTGGTGAACTATTCCTTTAAGAAAAGAACCCAACTTTCACAGACGATCTGTAAGATGCTGAAAGGGAGTCTGAAAGAAGTTACATAAGACGCAGCAGCAGAGCTTTGTGGGTTTATTGGCCTTCGTGTTCCACATATGCACAAAAGCAGTTGAAAGTTTCATTGTAAATGCCCTTTTATGAACGAACATCAATCAAGTGTCTCGTAGCCACGACTCCGATTCATAATCGAGGGAGTAGGTTTGGTTTCAGGAGAGGGGACGACGAGGTTCTTCTACCAAGAGAAACAAGATAAAGAACAGAAAGGGAAGGAAAAGGACAGCTGAGTGCTATTGTTTGCATTTTTATACATTTATATCAGTCTAGAAAATGCATTATGATAAATACTATGGAAATTGCTGCATTAGTAATGCACTATACTTAAAATCACATCTAGCTTCCCTGACTGAGACCTGATACATTAGGCCTGCTGGTGATGCTCTATTTGCGTCTTTACTACAAAGAGCACCATCCTTCATGTTAGACTGAACAAAAGCACACATTTAGTGTTAGGTATATTTTAACATTCAGAAGAGGTAAACAAAAGAGAGACAAAAAAAAGTCGCACGTCAACGTTTGTATCAACTCAAGCTCCTTTCATCTTTATTCTGGGAGCTGGACACCTCTGGAGTATCAAACTAAAACTGGCGTGTACATCATGTTTTGTTCCCTCAATGAGGCTTCCTCTTCCTGCTCCCCCTCTGTTACCAGATAAACAGCTTACCTTTGGCACGACTCATTCTGCTGAAACGAGTGCTAAGTACTTTACTGTCCTTTTCTGAGCTGTTAATTTGATAAGTGAGGGGATCTTACACTTCATATTGTGGGCAATTAAAGCCATATCTGAAGAATAGGGTCAGGCTGAATGACTTTCCAGTGTCTATTATGGGAACCATTTGAGTTATAGTGCGTCACTTAAATGAGCCTTCTGCACCGCCATGCCGGGACCTGATTGTACTTTTGGAATTTAACATTAAAGTTTCATTTTAGTTATATTTTATTAACACTTGGTACGGAGTGTGTCATTCTTTGTAAGATGGTAAGATGCTAAAGAAGACATTCAGGGTAGTTACAAAGAAGTGACTTGTGATTAACCATTGTTTTATTAGACTTTTGATTAGAATCTAGCAGCTACGAGAATAAAATGTTGGCATTTTGTACATTTCTGAAGTGACTTAACTCTGATTGCATGTATATGCGCTGAGTTTCAAATCAGGAGGAGGAAGGTTGGTGGATGGTGTGAGATCTAGGTGATAAAGCTGCCAAGCTGCACACCACTGTCTGACATCAGAAATCTGTGGCATTTTCAGCCATGATTGTGCCACCAACACCCGGTATATTACACCAAAAGAAATGATCTTTTCCTAACCATAACCAAGTGGTTTCTGTGCCTCAACATAACCACAGTCTTGTAGAAATATAAAAGATATCTGCTACATAATAAGGTACAAATGTTATGTATCTGTGGTTTGCAGGAATGTACATGCCAACATTTATTCTGGCGACTGTATTGAATTCAGAAAACAAGAGTGAGCGTTGGTGTGTGCGTGTGTTTGTGTGAAAGCACTAACTCACAGCCGTTTAAATGCAGTTTAAAAATGGCCAATTAAGCCGCAATCACTTCCATTTTTCCTTATCAAGAGCTCACAGAGGAATTACTTTTTCTATTTTTGGAGGAAATTAGGGTCCATGCTGTCTGATAAGGAGTCTAACCTAAACTCACAAGGATAGATGGCTCTTTACACTTTAGAGTAAAATTCTTCTCTAAAGGAAGGAAGTTAAGTTAATGCTGTTTTACCACTTTGTCAGCCTCGGCGTGCAAATATCGATCGGGCCAACTCGATAGCTTCCAGGCTACATCTGTTTCAGGTTGAGTTCGTCATATTCAATACAATTTTCTAATCACAGCGTTAGTCAAATTACATTCCGCAGCAGCACCACATGGGATCAAAACATTCAGAATTAGTTTTCAGATTACATATAGATTCAGCGTCGCTGCCGCTGATACATATTGTTTTTCTCCTTAGACAGGAATAAATCAGAATTCACATCATGCAATGTTCTGCAGCAGCATCATTCCCCCCTCAGCCCCCTGTTATTAAACCATAATTTTAGAAAATGGTGAATCTCCCTGTTTGTACACAAGTGTTTCATCACTCTTAACTTTT